CGATAATTTCTAGAAATAATTGTTACCAGTACTTCAGTAGCTTTCATAGAAAATAAGAACGGGCAAGTTTAGACAAACCGCTCAGTTTTCTCACATATGTTATGTAAGAGACGAAAGAGATAGAGAACAGCTGAATGAATAGAAGGAATGGAATAAGTTAAAAGAAGTGAAAAGATAATTTTGTTCTGTTCTGATTTTTTTTCTCCATGGTAATAAATTTTATATCACTAAATAGAATAGGAAGTCTATAACTGCACACGGGATGGAGACATTTTTTATGACTGTTGTCAAATTCATATGCAGTAGTTGTGCATTGGCTTCCAGAAGAAGAAGTATGATAACGGAAATAGATTTGATCAAGCAGCTTGCTTACTGCAGACATGTCAAAATATATGAGCAAAAAATTCGCTGTGCAACCAAGTAACCAGTATCGATCAATACTTCGAGTACTGGTATTGGTTATATTAGTACCGTTGCATGCCTACTGTTCGGTCATCTAACATGCTCGGTTTTGAACCGTTTGCTTCCGATCAACGAGCCCTAGCTTGGAATTGTTGCATGCTTAAAAGCATTCAGAACGAAGCTAACTATCATCGTTCTTCTTCTCTTTAACCTGCTCCTCGGTCAATCGATTGTCCAACACCATTACACTGAAGATGCCGATCATACTGAAATTGAAATTGACACTGACGTGTATTCGACTAGTCGAAATGGCATTTACCCAGAAAATCCAGGTTTTGTGAACCACTATCGAAAATTCGTAGAGTAAAATTAACGATAGGATTGGTTAGATCTTTCCGAAATTGAGCAATAGGGCAGTTCGCTTCACACGATTTACGGATGGCCGTATTTGCAATTCGTCCTGGTGTGTCTAACATGTCAATATGACCTTATTTGGTGCAGTGATTCCTCCTGCAACAGCAGGCATCAAGCCTTTTATTAACGTCGTCCTGACTTAATAATAATCAAAGAAAAGTACTTACTTAAAGATGGGACAGGAGGAAGAAAAATATGTCATTCGGTGCCGATATTGTTAGAACAGAATATGTATAAACTTAAAGCTTATGAAGAAATCGTCAACTGACTTTTAGGAAAAATAGGAAAAAATAGTGCAACTTTTTTATTAGTCTCAAAATTACCCAGTTTATGTTGCAAAATCAGCTATTGGAAAGCATTATTCTAATACTGGGTATGTGATTACAGCTAATAACTTTGAGCTTATTCTACGAGAATAACCAAAGGTACAAATTGCTATTATCGATGTCAAAATATAAGGCACTTGGTTGTTTTTCGACAACAATAGTTAAGGAATCGTAAGTTATTTGGGCTAGCTTACCCATGCTCAGTGGTATGAATCGTTCACCACTGTACGTGTATTCTGAACGGGAAAAAAGAAATTTGTAGGATAGAAAAAGACGTCCTAGGAAAGGTTCTGGTAGTTCGCGTAGTATTTTTTCATTCCCGGTTTTCAACAGATATATGATCTTTTAGCATCATGCCGATCTATCACTGATTGAGCCGTATTATCTCTCTCATATTTCCATTTTCATTTTTATTCATGCGATTTTTGACAACAATAGTTTTTAGTCCTCTTAATATTAAAATGACTCATCACTAACGTGGTTAGAATTTAATTTCAAGGTTTAGCAGTTTTTATTACGAAAGAAAATACAAAATTTGTATGTAACTAGAATCCTCCATATTATCATACTTCGTTCTTCTTCTTCCTCCTGTCTTCATCATACGCATAAAATTTCTAGTCTTCTTTCATAGTATGTGTGTCCATATGGAAATGAAACAAAGTCGAAAAAACATCAGATACGTACAGTCAGCTATACTGTTTTCATTTTCATATAACATTTTGTATGAAGAACAACTTGAAAATGGCCGTATCAATAGGTCAAAATATCGAATTGTAATTTTAATGGTTGGTTATAATTTTAATTGACATTCTTAACATGTTAGCCCCAACTATTCTTAAATTTCTACTTTTAACCTTGCCCATTAATTCACAAAATGTTAGAGTCGAAGATTATATGATCGTTTCTGTCCTTTTTTCCTGTAAGTAAACGAGGATCCAAGTCGTGTCTAGCATAGAAAAATTATGCGTGGAAAGCTCGGGAATGTATGTCAATAGGCAATTTAACGGAGCATGACAGCGTCTTTTGTGAATTTAATACTACATTTTTCCATATATCTCAGCTATGACACTGCACCTAACCGGTATTGACTTTCCTCGGAGTTTCAGGACTCGTGCCTGGTGTTGTTGAATAACCTTAGAATCGATTGAACATAGGTGATCGACAAAGCTGAATCTTACAGCAATATTGATTTGTGGAAACAACAGAATCAGTTATACGAAAGTTAGGGTTTTCAGGCTGTTTTCACCTCATACTAAAAACATTCACTATACACTCAAAAAAAACGCCAGAACGAGGTGAAAACTGTAGGGTATAATTATTTATGTTCACTAAAGTTGAACATCGCATCCGAAAAACACAAAATTATGGATCTGTCCACAGGCTTTCTAGAAATCCTTTTTACACAGGATAGCGTTTTATAATTGTTTTCTCTGGTTTTCTTATAAACATCATATACAATGCGCTAAATACTGTGCATTCTAAAGCTTTCATCTCGTCCTGAAATCTTCTGAGTATATTAAACTTTTAGCCGAATATGTGGAAATGTTACATTGGTTTACGCATTACCATAGGAGATAATTGACTTTTATGTCACAGTCATGCTCTATTTTTATAGTTCAAATGAATATGATGAATTGAAATGTTGTGAGAATGAAATATTTTGTTTATTAGTTTTATTTACATATACTGTCAAAAATCCATGCATTTTATGGTTGCTTTTCTTACATATTTATAGAGTTATTTAATTTTTTTCTTATTGTAAAAGAAAGTGAATTGTAGATTCAAAAACATTTACTGAAGGAAATGTGAGGTTGTGAAAATAAAAATATAAGAAAGAAAAAGTGTAGGATTATTTGTTTTGAAAACACCAAAAAAGTTCTATATATTACTTTTAAATTTTTTTTCCTTCTCTTCATGTAAAAACAAGTCAGCACATCTATTTTACAAATTTTTTTATTATTCACATCAATCAATCTCATATCACTACCTTTTTTTTATAATTTAAATAGTTCCAAATAACATGTTTTACTCAACAACAGCTTAATATGTATGTACGAGTGTTACAGTGGTGATTCGATTTAATATAATCATCGAAGTGCTTTGCACAAAAGATTAAAAAATTGCAAGAATTTTAATTCAGTTCTTAGACATTTTACTAGACAATTTGATAAACGAGAATTTGAATAGCTGAAGTAAGAATAATCAATTCCAAAGTATGCCTTAAAATGATATTGAAGAAAATTTAGTCCTTTACAAGTTCATTCAAAATGAAACTGCGTCGTACTGCAGGAAACATAATGCAATTTTGAGGGTCATTGTGGTGCTTATTTACAACTATTTAGAAGCAAGTGTTAGATAAAATCAATCCAAAAGTTGAGAATTCTCAGAAAAATTAAAGCCTCTCTAATTGAACTAGCCAAAGGTAACAAAATCTGTAAGACTCATCCTTTCATCTTTTGTGAAACCGTAAATACTTGATTTACTTTCTGATTTTGTAACAACCATCGAAAAACCCGTGTTGTTCTTTTATACTTTCCTCCGATTTCCGCTAATATAACGACGTTAAAACTTGTAACATTTGACACTTCCATCAAATTTAGAACTTTTTCAGCTGTGTCAAACGATGTACTCAGAAGAATATTAAAATGAACAGTATGATTAAGAATTAACCATTCCTGTGCCCTTTGATGTAAACAGTTCGACTTTTGCACAAGGCTGCACAGGATTTTTCTTTTTGGCACCACTTGCAACTGCTCGTAATAGAGCACCGCAACAAGGGCCAAAAATAGGCATCTACCACCAGCAAGAACTCTCATTCCACGTAAATGATAGAGAGATCAGGCTGTTTTTGTTTCGAAGTAAACACCTATGGCTAGGAGCTGACAGAGCCTGATTTTTAAATTTCGCATTTACTGATTTCTGGTGCTTAACAGAACTTGAAAGTTCAAAACGTTCATGGCAGGTTTCTTAGAATACTCAGTTCTATAAAAAATGTAAGCATAATTTAAAAATCGGACTCTGACAACTCCTCGCTATAGGTGTTATCTACAAGTAAAAACATAGATTTTTTTTCTCCGATGCATCATTACGAAAATTCCTGTGCATAGCCCTGCCCTGAAGCTAAAAAACAGTTTTGAGAAAAACGCAAAATAAGTTTGATTCTGTTAAATGCGTTTTACTTAAAAACTGTTTGAGCGTTAAGTAATTTGATGATACTTTGCTATAGGTTAGCGGGCACTAATGAACATGTGCAAGGACATGTGCGGCACGTGCGTGCGCTTATGCAACAAAAGTGCAAAAAAGCCATTTTTTGTGCTATACGGGTTGTACCTAATCTATTAAAAACCTATCCTATCAGCACAAAAATTATGCGATTAGAAGGTAGACACGTTGGGCTATACAACCATGTGCTTTTCGCAAATCAATATTTTTGACGAAAATCGGCATTTCTGACCTAGGGAGGGGCCCTTAAACGAAAAGGTTCGATTTATGTATATTTCTATGGTATTCAATAGATCGTCGATGTTTTAAATGTAGTCTGTTAGAATGACGCAGTCGTTTCTGTGTATTAGTATATGAAGAAAAGCAAGTAGCGTGTTATAGAATTGACAAGTTTTAAAAAACATTAAGAATTTTTTATACTTGCTATGTGTATAGTCTGACAAGACAAACTTTTGCAGTACCTTATGATTCACAGAAGTTTGACATATTATAGCTACATTTTATAACTATCTTGCATAATTTGATAATGCTTGTGTTAGAGTTTTAAAAAGACAATCAAATTTTGTAATCTCATCAAACAGAAACTATTCTGAGCTTAGCTTTCTTCTTGTAATATTTCAGGTTTTAGAAACGGCGATGGGTTCTGCTGCAAGTGGAAGTTTACCTGTAAGTTCACCACAGAAAAATATACTTGCAAATCCAAACAGTCGACGATTTTCATCAGCACCACGAAATGCTCCACCATTGGGACGTGTCCCTAAAGAAGAAAAAGCGCCTGTTGTATTATCAACTATAGTCAGTCTATTTGGTTCGCCTTACCTCCTTGTCATTTTATGTATCTTATTAATAACAGCTATATTACAAGTTGCTATTGGAGCATCCTATATAGATCAGTGCCGGATTCAACCTTATATACCTTTGTATTTAATCGTATCTGGTGCATTTAGCATTGTAACAACTGTTCTTCTGATTGCTATGGTATGTTACATTCGATATATAGTATATGTGTTTGTGTAAGGGGAAATGCTTTTGATTTTAGATCTTAGCATTCATCTGCTTCCTGAAGCATTCAAACATAGCGTTATCATTTCTATCTGCATGTTTAATTGAATTTATACTTATTTGTAGTTGTGTATTGTGTATATTCTTATTTGCATGGTTCATAGCGGTAAGTAATCACACTGCAGTAGCTTTTTTTGAGGGGAGCAGCCATTATTTTGACTAAAATCGTAAACCATAGCTGCGCTGCGCCTAGAATAATTTAAAATAAAAATACCCGTAAAATTTAATATAAATATTGAGTCCTACGATTCGTTAGAACGTATCCTTGTCTACCAAATTAAGAACTGTCTAAAGTCAATAGTTTTTGTTAAATTTGATCGTGCTTTTTCAAAGTCTATAACTTTGTATTGATTGTTCAACAGGCTTAGATTCATGCGACTTTTTCATGGAGAACTGATTTAAATAAGTTTCGAGCGTAAAATGTTATTCCATTTACCGTGATGTTGAGGACTGCAAAGAAACTCCGAAAAAGTTTCGAATAAAGTTAATCGATAAAAACAATACAAACCTGGTTTTTTACTCTATCTGAAGACATACATGTGTCGTTTGCAACGTTTTTGTACAATTGATGAAAAAAAATGAAAGTGAGCTGAGATAAAATCCGAGCCGTACATCTTGCACGGCGTCATTTTCTGAGTCTACCTGTAGAGTTTCCCCACTATCGGACATATATTGGCAGAGAAAAAAGATCCAGAACTTTTGTCTTTCCAATGGGCGAGGGTTTCTGGCAAAATCAGGCTAACCTTTACGTTAAAAGGCAGATACTATATATCAATCGATGGCTCTCAATGAGCTCTATCTCTCTCTACCACTTAGGGCCTCAACTGAATCCGTTTGCAGGCTGAAAGACCTCAAAAACCGGTTTTGAACCTTGGAGTCAGTTCGCTTCAGGTCGCTTTATAAGTGGCATATTTGGCTTCAGTGCATCACAACGAGTCGAACGGTGTATGATTTGTTCGGTTTTTAACAGATTTAACTGGAGTTATTCACAAAATAAAACTGGTTGTGCATTTCAAGATGTCACGTAAAATTTTCCCTAAAAATGCTAATTGTCAAGGTCATCGAAGTGCTATATCTGTTCAATTTTGAAGTCTCAATTTTTTGAAATCTCTCATGCTGGTCCACGGTTGACGATTTTCTACTGGTTCTATATTCAATGCGTAGAACTATTTTTGACAGAAATGACTAAGAAAACCTAAACAGAAGCGAAAGTGAATAGTATCAGTCGATGGAGAACTGAATGCTGTACAAAACGTGTTGTTCACATTTTTCTTTTTATTCCCTTTGTTCTGAAAAAAGATCATTTTATATCAATGAGTCATCGAAAAAGTTCATTCTCATGTTACGAATGTGCAATTTTCTGTTGAAGGGTAATGTCTGGGTATTTCAAGTGCGCCTACAAGTGTCATTTGATTCGCTATCAGAAAAATATTGTCATCCTACATTATACTGGTTCGCATTTAGTATTATTATTATTATATACGTTATGTTAGTTGTATCATGTTGTCTACCATGTGTTAAACGTTGCATCCCAGGAACGAAAACGCCGAAAACATAATCATAATAAATTGTAAGGGTAAAGGTATGGGATATGTTATATCGGATTTCCAGTAAGATACATTCTGCATTGCGAAGTGTGACAAGGTGTTTATGACTATGACTTTGTTCTTGCAATATTGCTCGGTTATAAACTTATACTATTTTCATAAATGACGTTACAACCAATCCGGTTCTCAGGAATACATTATATCTTGAGTGCAGCCCGCACGTAGAAGCATTGTTATTTCAATTTGTAATGAAACATGGTCGAAGATATATTGTTGTTCCATTCTTGGTCACTAGAAATTGTTGTCTATGCTCTTGTTAACCAAAAAACCTAGATCGATTAACCTTTTCAGCGACTTGAAGGCTATTCTTGGGCGAAAACGGCATTTTTTTTTGCTCGTACAGTAATCTATGCTGTATTGTTTGGTAGATTTTCAGTCAGTTTCGATTTTAGGCGTAAAGTAATAATCCCATGTCCTGCAGAAATTTTATATCTGCACAAGATCTGTCAAGTTTGTTGATCTCAAAGAATGTTCAACAATTCTTGTCAAGATCTTGTCAAGTTTTTTTTGGAGGAATTTGCCTGCAAAAATCTGGATCAAGATCTTGACAAGATATGAAAACTTTTCTGTAATTAACAAAATCTTTGCTAACAAAAAACGTTATCAATTATTTTGATATTAGAAACGCACCCAGTTGCTCGGAGGTACCGTTTTTAAATGTCAGAAGTATGTTTAAGGAATTGAGCAGTAGCTCGCGAAATGTTTCAAAATTTGATGGATAGATAGGTGATTAGATAGAATCAAAATTTGATGGATACCGAATATGATGTTTTTATTGCTTAAAACCTGAGTTCTGATAAAGAAAATTGAGAATCACGGGCACAATTGAGAATTTTTCGCATCTTATTCAGAAAAAATGAATTTTCTCAGCAATGGAAAGGAATTTTAAAAAAATCTCTCCGTACTTTTAAAGCTTATCACTTGGGCTATCTAACGGTATGTGAATGGGGGACCTATCTCTTAACTCAAAAAACTAGATAGGTCTGCAAGCTGAAGGTATCGACCGCTGAGCTTAGCCAGTTCTGAGCTCAGCCAAAATTTCAGTTTTGACCAAACGTCATTGAAAGAGACCTCTCTAGAATCAGTTTTCAACGTAGAATTTGAAAATATTAATGAGAATAAGTAAAAACGTAAAGGAAAAAAACTGTGAATCATTTTCTAAAAAAGAACAGTTTTTAGCTTTTTCGACCTCGTCTCAGTATTTCGCATTTTTCTCCATCAAGATTTCATTTTTTCAAACTAAACAGGTGATATTCGTGATCAGCTCAACCTGGCCATTCAGAATATGTATAACAAAGTCAAAAAGAAATTTCACTCTGAGTTTGACCTACGAGCATCTTATATATCCTTCTCATAAATGATGATTTGTTTGTTATCTGTTTGTTGATGTTAAAGTTAACTATGACATGATCACAGTTTTCGTATAAAAAATCTTCAACCTTTCGCACTAGTAACGATAAGGTGGTTATCAACAAAAATCAATCTAAACAATTTGGTCGCCTAGTCGGTTTTCTAGCAAACTGAAGAAGATTATTTTTTGTTGAAAACGCATAAAGGCTCTCTCCGTCTCGTGATCAGCTCAGCCTGGCGATTCAGAATATGTATAATATAGTTAAAAAGAAATTTCACTCTGAGTTTGGCCTACGAGCATCTTAATTACAAAACGGCTGATTTGAATAACTTTCATTTCACGCTTTTTTCATTTATTACTTTTTATTAGTCATATAGTTAACAGTTAAAATAATTTAGATTGTTAAGTTGATGAGTTCAATAAAGTAATAATTGAAGCTGCTGATAAATCAATTCTGAAGAAAATTATTAGAATTAAACATGGTGACCAACCCTGGTTCACAAATAATTTGTGTACGTTGTTGAGGAAAAGGAACAGAGCATATAAACAACATATTAAAGCAAAGATGGACGATAGTCGTAATAAATATCTCTGTTTAACAAAGACATTTCAAAATTCATGTAACTAAGGACGAGTGTATCGAACGACAACAAAATATGTTTGTTGTTGGATCAACAACAAAAATAGCTCTAATAAACAGGTGGTGGAAAACACAAAATTTTTCTCTTGGAAGGAAAAAACAGTGAAGTATTCCTCCATTGAAAAATCCGAGTGGATAGTGGATATACGAGGATAATAAAAAAGCTGATGAACTGAATGTGTATTTTGCATCCATTTGTACTATACATCTGTTTGATAATTTGAAAGCAATACCATTTGTAAAAGAGTAACTTATCAACATATAATTCCATCTCTCGTCGTTTCAGCTACTCAGTTTGAATTTATGCTAAGTAAATCAAATATAAACATAGCACGCGGTCCAGGAATAACATCACGTTTATTGGGAGAATCCTGTATAATTACAGCAGTCTGGATAGCGAGTATGACTGATCAGTCAATAGAAACAGGCGAATATCTGAGGATCTTTAGGATAGGTTATATCAATCCATTATTATGACACGGTGATTCTTCTAGTACAAATAATTATAAGCCACTCTTACCAATTCTCAGCAAAGCTTTTGAGCGCGTAGCATATAACCATTTGTATGGCTATCTGACTACGAATAAGTTGTTGTCAAATATACAATCAGGATTCATTAAGGATGATTCTGCAGTGAATCGGCTGATTGATTTCGTTCATACAATTTATTAGAATGGGGACAAAGGACGGATAACACGAGCCATATTTCTCGATTTTAGTAATGCGTTCGATTGTGATTGGTTAAGAGGAATACTGCATAATTTAGAAATGACAGGTGTTCGTGGCTCACTACTGAGTTGGCTTAAGAACTATGTGACTGCTACAGAAGTTCTTTTGATACATTTTAAGACTTTACACAATTTAATATTAGCATTTAATTTCATGGAATGGCTATTGCTACCTTCAGAGATGTCACCAAGGGGCTATTACCACCTTCAGAAGGTGTCACTGGCGGCTATTGCCACCTTCTAGTTGACTGTTTTGCCTGAAGGTGCCAATAGCCGCCAAGTACTTCCTTCAATGTGAAAAACACTAATCAAAACTGTTAATAAAATTGTTTCCGACATCAGTATTTTCAATATCTGTATTGTCAGTATTCGGAATCGGCAAAATTTGGGCCATCTGCTACTACCAAAATATTTTTGCTTATGTATTCAAGTCAAAAAAATTTTAATGTTTTTCCATAAATACTGCTTTTCCAAAATGTGTACTCAGTACAAAGAGTTCCCCAGCTTGGAGAACCTTCATCTTTCGCCAAAAGGGGATTTATGACCACCTTCATCTATAGTATTAGCGCAACTTTAACTGCAGTCCGCGGAAGATTTTCCAATAGCCTTCGGATTTTTGAGGTAAAACTCCTTCAAAAAGACACTTTTTTCTGCATAAGTTGTACACATTCGGAATCAGCGTGAAAAACGGCATCGACTGATGTATAGTTTGTTAGTTTTACAAATAAAACATTTTTTGACAAAAATTCAGGGCAAGGCCTAACGAACTTTTTGTTGAAAAAAATGTTTTTTTCGAATTCGACCTTTTTTACTTCTACTAATATCTGACACATAGTATGACCATATTATGCTAAAATAATTATTTTCTAACTCAAAAAATCAGATGTCCGCCTGCTCTATGGAAAAATGCCCACTGTGACGAGTACTGATAATTATTTTTTGTTGCATTGCTGATCTTTCCAATCTGCCTATTGATAGGTAGCGTCTAGCTGTCGATGATGAAACATGCTAGAGTATTTTTCAAAGCGTACTGTAAAATACAGAAATTAGGTTGAACTATTCGTTCAATACTCAATTCTGCCATTACAGCACTATTTATTGTGTACACGATCATTTAACTGCACGTAAAACGAGTGAATCAGGAATAATGGACCTCCTAATATTTTGCTTATATCGCTGCATCTGGTAAGTCCTTTGAACTGATTGTTTTGTAAAGAATTCTTCGTTTAATTCTCTACAAAAATCATATTGAACATTTTATTATGTACCGTAAAAGTAAAAGAATATAAATAAAATACTGCGAAGCGTCACTCTTCATCACTTTCCAACTCGTAACATAGTTTTTCAATTTTAGTCCCCTATACGATGCATAATGAGAGAAGAAAATCATTTTGTAGTCTTTAAAAATTTGTATTAACTGTCCATATTTAAAACTCGCCATAATTTTAAAGGGGTAAGGAAGACTTTTTCTTGTTTTATTGATTTTATTAAAGTTGCCGCTTCCAAGCTGCAGTTTTCGGGGCATTTAGGAAATTTTCATAAAATGATTCTGAGGTCAGCTTTGTTTTATCTTAAAGGAAAATACTTCTCTCGTTACATCCGACGAGAGAGAAAGTTCGATAGTTCTTTTCAAGTGACAAGGTTGGGCCAGGAAAACACGTTCAGAGCGAACCTCTGACACACAAAAACAAAAAGTCGACGCTTCGGAGTACCAGAGCATGCATTTTGATTCCATTTTGATGAATGAAATTGTGTGCAAAATAAATATTTTCTTGTTATATTACGGGTTGAAAAGTGATGAATGAGGCTTGAGGTCGGGCTTACCACATCAAAATTAGGAAATTAAATTTGACATAATTTTGTCTCAAGACTCAACTTCACGGCTTCACGGTGAAAAAGCGAAAATCAGGCCAAAAAAGTGGATTTTAGCCTAATTTTCACTTTGTCATCGTGAAGGAAGTGTTTTCTAAAGTTGAATCTCGAGACAAAAACATGAAAACACAAATTTAATTTCCTAATTTTGACCTGCTACGCTGACTTCATATAATTCGATCTTCAGAGCTCAAAATGCTGTTCTCTCCGCTGAAGATCAGCTTCTAGAAGCACGGTTTCGGCACATAGTTTTTAGAATATTGAAATTGTTGCATTTCATGTTCCAGACTCGAGTCTCAAAAGTGCTTCCTTCAATGTGAGAAACGCTAATCAAAACTGTTAAAAAAATTGTTTCCGACACCAGTATTCAGTATACTGGTACTGGTGCATAGCTAATCATAGCACAAAAGTAAACAAGCAGTGATAACATCTAGAAGATGTACATTTAACTGTGCAGTGCTTCTTGTTTGTTTTGGAAATGCAGCTAACTTTAAGTCACCTAAATCTACATCATTTTCAAACTGTGTTAATTCATATGTCACCATTCCACCTGCTACACGATCTGATCCCTCATCAGCTCGTACACCAACATTAAATATATAAGTTCCAGGTGGCAAACAGACCATCGCCGTTCGAGAGACAATGAATCGAGAAGATATCAAGCTTCCTACATAACTATAACCACCAATACTATCCGTCTGAAATCGACCTGTGCCTAATCCCATAGTGGCACGTTGATTTGCATTCGGCAGAAGTCGACTGCCGATAATAAGATAATCGTTTACCATAATATGCACGTATTCGTTTAAGATTGCATTGCTATTCCATAAACCGCCTTGAAATGTAACTTTAAATAATGTCTTCTTTGAGACATGAAATGCTTTATTCATATCAGGTACAAAAATTATCACTTGTAGGAAACACGAATTCACCGGTCCCTTCAAGATTCTGATATTGTTATAGACCTTGTATACTGACACTGTAGCTGGTTTTGCTGATGCACTAACCTGCAATGATGCTGCTGCTATTCTGGAACCTAATAAAGAAAAAGCATCGAAGATTACCTCATGCTTAACGCAGACACTTTAATTTGTGAAGAAAACAACTCACCGGCATAAATAAAAGTTGTTAAGCTAAGAATGCATGATGAGAAATACTTTGCTTTTTCAAATTCTTTGGAAGTCGAAAGTGATTAGAAATTTTTTGTACTATATGATACTAAATACGGACAGTCCTGATACTGAAAATACTGATGTCGGAAACAATTTTTGAACAGTTTTGATTTGCGATTTTCAGATTTTCACAAGCTTCTAATCCGTTTTAATCTGTTTCGAACGTTTTTTTTCGTGATAGCTGAGTAGAAACGATTTTGGAAGACATTTTAACCCACTACGTCGATATTCCTGGCATATTTGAAAAATAGTTACGATAAAGTTAACTAATTGATAGTTATGTTTTCTGTTGGATCACTTATCTTTTTATATTGTCATAAAAAATGACTTTTGCAAAAGCCTCGTAACTGTTTTTTCAGCTTTTCAACGTGCATTTTGGAGCTCTTTGTAAATTGAACAGTACTCGCTTAAAACTGAACGAATCTGGCTCATTCTTGAGTCATTTTGAAGAGAAATGTTTCATCTATTCGACTCGCGTGCGAAATGTTTTATGTGACTTCCGTCTTAAGTCTAACAAGTGTGTAAAATTTAGCAAAGCTTTGAACGCTCAAACTTCACACAAATATCCGTCTATGTAAAGCATACTACAGTCATGATCTGAAGTGTGGGCCAGAATTACTGAAACGAATTACGGAAATCATTTCATAATAAAATTCAGCTGTTTTTGCAAAAGATCCACCGTTTAATTCTCTACAGAGTGGTATACAGGAGTTTTGAAGCCCATGCCCAAAGTGACAGAAAAAAGATGTCAGGTCGTTTCTTGGATATAGACAGATGAGCCTCTCGATACTTGAGCTCTTAACGTTTGATCACCCGACATTTAAACCATTTTTTAGATAGAGGTCAAACGCATTACTTTTTACTGCTTTCCTTCTCCCGAAACAAATCTGAAAAACGATCTGTTTGATATAAACCTGATCCAATTTCAGTCAGTTTCTCGGAACTACTACAAACGATTAATGCTTCAAGTGTATATAGTTAGTATTAACCATGTCTTTTTGAGAGGTAACCGAATTAGAGCAAAACCAGAAAGATTGAGAGGGGGATTTTATGTGCTAATTTTTGAAATCCGGCATGAACTCTTTCTCAGACAATCTCATAACCTGTTCCCAAAGCTGCGGAACTTTTATTGCTGAATGCCACAGATAAAAAGGATCTTTGGAAAACTTACCAATGTTTTTGTCTAGATGAAGGTCATCAGAGGACCCTGTCATATGCGCCTCCATGAGGTCTATCGAACAATAACGGGTGTAAAATAAAGAATGTCCACTTTTTTATTTTCAATTTTTCTTCTCTCCCTTTCGACCTACAGAACTCATCTTTCTACCAAAAGAATCGCCGTTTATTTCTCTACAAAAAAATGTGTTATAAGCTTTTGAAGAATTTCAGATAACTTTTTTACAAAATGAAAAGTAAAGATCTCTGAAATGTCGTAAAAATTAAACGTGAGAATGGTGACGGTGCAACAAAGATCTTCCGGGATTTGAACGGTCCAGTATCATTTCGAACAATTCGAAGATGGCTACAAATGATCGAAAAAACCGGCGCTATCGAACTGGCTAAATCTTCCGGTCGACCACGTACTGCGCGGACAAAGGCGAATATCCAAAAGGTCAAGCAGCGATTAAATCGAAAAAAAGGAGCTTCAACCAGAAAGTTGGGCAAAGAATTGGATATGTCGCACATGAGTGCCCATCGTATATTGCACAATGACCTGGGATGTTTTCCGTACAAAAAGATTCGGGAACCCGCCATCACCGACATTCAGAAAGGAAAATGGGTCAAATTTGCAAACTGGATGTTAAATAATTTCAAAAAAGACGAAACAAAAAACTGGCTATTTTCCGACGAAAAAATCTTTGACTTGAACGGGATGTACAACGCTCAAAATGATCGGGTATGGGCGATCAATCGTCAAGAAGCTGATAAAAAGGGTGGCGTGAAACAAATACATCAATTTCCCACAAAGATAATGGTTTGGCTTGGAGCATGTGGAAAAGGGCTAACCAAGCTCGTCGTTCTTGACAAAGGTACAGTAGATCATGTACGGTATATCAGAGAAGTGCTCCCGGTGGCCTTGAAATGTGGAAATAAAATGATGGGCAACAACTGGACGTTCCAACAAGATGGAGCCAGTGCTCACAAGGATCACAACACTCAGCAATGGTGTGCTGACAATATGCCTGCATTTGTACCCCATTATCGATGGCCACCCAATTCGCCCGATTTAAGCCCGATGGACTACAGTATCTGGGACGGACTAGTTCAGACAATGAATTGGGATCACGTACGAACAAAAAACACACTGATTGAAGAAATAAAACGGGCTGTTAAAAAAATCCCGGCCCAAAATGTTTTACATTCTGTTGAAAATTTTACTGTACGTCTGCGCCTTATTTTAAAAAACAAAGGAAATTATATTCGTTGAATAAAATACACAGTTTTGTAGGGAAATAAACGGCGATTCTTTTGGTAGAAAGATGAGTTCTGTAGGTCGAAAGGAGAGAAGAAAAATTGAAAATAAAAAAGTGGACATTCTTTATGTTACACCCGTTATGCATATCACCTTTGGACGAGGTCGTGGAATGAATCTGCGAAACTTTTATTCCTGGATACCACAGATGAGAAGGATCTCTGTGATCACAGCGCACTATCTTTCACCTCATTCGTGCGTAGATGTATAGGGTCAACAAGGTGTAGAGTCAAGTGAGTCAACGTTTCTAATCTTTCTCACTTATTTTCTTTCTTCCATCCCACCCACCTCTCTAGCATCCTCATCATATTTATTTATATTGATTTATAAGAGTTCCTCAACTTTCTTTTCTTCTCTAGAAAGTTTTCTTCAAAATGTTCGGAAGTAGGACTTCTAGAAAACCATTGTTTTTGGACTACTCGTAAAGGTATGGACACATTAGAAAACCCGGGGTCTTCTAATGTGTCCATCCCTTTACTTCTTAAAAAGGGTTTTGAAAATCACTGTTAAGACATGCAACATTTTTAATAACATATTTTGATTCATCATGGAAAGGCGAATATTTTGAAAAAAAATTAGGTCTCCAACTAAGAATTTCATTTAAAATTTAAAAAATTCAACATTTTTATAATAAAAAAAACGCAGCTCACAAAAGAGACTCACAAAAACTTGTTTCAAACGTAGTTGGATAGAGAATTAAAAACTGAATAAAAGTAGGGTTTTGGCTGCTATACAAAATATAGCCGCCTTCATGTACTCAACTAGTATAGGTCATATTAATCTTGTTTCTCTTCTCCAATCTCTTCCCTGAATCCAAATATGTTATTAAAAATGTTCCATGTCTTAGCAGTGAGTTTTAAAACCCTTTTTGAGAAGTACAAGCAGGCCAAAAACGATGGTTTTCTAGAAGTCCTACTTCCGAGCATTTTAAAGAAAACAAAGTTGAGAAACTCTAATAAACCAAAGGACATGAACTCTTTCTCAGACAGTCTCATAACCTGTTCCCAAAGCTGCGGAACTTATTGCTAAATACCATAGATAAAAAAAATCTTTGGAAAACTTAACAATGTTTTTGTCTAGATGAAGGTCATCAAAAGAACACTGTCGTATGCGCCTCTAGAGCAGGTAAAATAGAGTACACCTTGATATTCTGACGTAATTTGGATGGATCTTGACTGGGTTATGAACTTTTTAATTTTACTCAAAAATAGACAAAAATGGACTATTTCACCTAATATAGGTTTTCACTGAGTTTTAGGAAGTGTTCTGAAAAACAAACATTGCCACGATGATCAGTGTGATCGATTATCTATGTATCGATTCGTTTTGAGGTCTTCAAACAGCAGAAAAACGTGAAACCTGGTGATCCGCGGGAAATCCGAGCCCTTCAAAAACAATAAAAGATCAGAAAAAAGACGATTGTCCATTGGGTTGCTTGATTAAAGGGTTGGTTTACTGATTTTTACCTATACAGAAACTCTAAAGTGTTTTCAAAACAAAGTAAGATTTAAGTTCGTTTGATCTCTAAATGGAATAATTACGCAAAGTTGGCTACTAGTTCATTTACCCGAACGTACGGTGCAATACTAATATACATACCGCAGATGTGACCATCTGTTTTCTTGTTTCTGTATGAAATATTTTCCACATTTAATCCATATCATATAATAGCAAATTAATCTTTTATCACAGACTAAATCGTTCTCAGATAGGACAACATTAATTGATGTTTATCAAAATATTTGTTCGAATTGTTCGTTGTAGCAAACATCTCTGGGAATCTCGAAATGCCATGGAATATAGGCAATCGAAAACCGCAGGTCTCTATCTCATTACTATCAAAAGTTATTCAAAAAATGCCCACCGGCACTGTATTTTGGGATGGATAGTAGTATCATTACTTAAACGTTGAATGATATCTCATTCGATACCATTTTGCCAGATAACGAATCTAAGAGTATTTGATTAAATAAAATTGAGCACACAATAAAGAAAAACTTTTTTTGTAGTAAGTGTCCGTTCTAGGAGTATGCGGGGCTAACTTGTGATCCTCCAAAAACAGTTTGTTAGTGCATTTTAAAAATTCTTGTTATGTCTGTATTATGCACCGCTTTACCTAGGTTGAACTAGCTTATTGATTTTTTCTTTTGCTTGGATAGACAGTAACACTGCGCAAGCTTGTACAGATCTTGAGAAGGCAGAAATGTTCTCGAAATTCTTTCATATTTGTTATAAAAAACCTTCTTCTTCGTCTACTAGAAACACTAATATGCAGAAAAGTAACCAACGTTTTTTAAATACATTTTTATTTACTGTAGCGTATCTAAACGATATGATTACGAAGCTTAAAAATAACAAATCCGTAGGAATCGATAGTATTGATAACCAGTTTTTAAAACTATGCTCAGACCACAATTACATCACTTATTCACTTTATCGTTAAAACAAGGAATTTTTCCGAAATTGTGGAAAAAAGCGATAATGAAAGCAATTCATAAAAAGGGAACACGAAATCTGTGTTCTAATTATCGACCAATTTCACTCTTATCTAATATTAGTAAAGTTTTTGAGCTTTTTATTTATAATGTTTACTAAGTCACCTGCATGAAAAACGTTGTTTTACTAACGTATAATTTGGCTTTAGGCCAAGCTCTTCAACAGTTGACGCTCTTTTACATATAACAACTAAGTTAAGTAATATTTTAGAAGAAAGAAAAATAGCTGTAGGAGTTGCTTTCGATTTTGCAAAAGCTTTTGATATGGTGTCTCATAGACTTTCGTCAGAAAAGCCACAAAAAGCAGAAGTAGAAGGAAATTTTTTAGAATGCTTTATATCTTATTTAACTAATAGAGAGCAAGTAGTAGTTAGTGATAAAATATCTAAACCTGCGCTGGTTACATTTGGAGTGCCTCAGGGCAGTGTGATTGGTCCTTTATTATTTTCATATTCATTAGCGATCTTATCTCTGAGTTTCCTATTGAGGTAACGGCTTCCTTATTTGCAGACGACGTCTTCGGATTAGTCTCGTTACAAAACTTTTCTGATTTTTTCGAGGTACAGAACTTCCTAGATATTATATCGAAGTGATGTGGAGAAAACGAGATAGATGTAAATATCGATAAATGCTGCTATATGCCGTTTTCTAATCAAAAACCACCGCCAACAGTTCCCATTTCTTTTATTAAGTTGGAAGCAAATAATGGTCGAAAAAAACATAAAAATGCTAGAAGTTTATCTTTCATCAGATTTCACATGGAAATTTCATCTTGAAAATACAGCTAGGAGGTGCAGGCAAATGTTAGGCGCTATGAATCGAATATTCGGATCTGCTCCTACTTTTATTCGACTGCATATTTATAAAACCTGTAACCTGTAATGGATTATTGTTGTGTAGTATTTGACAATGATTTCAAAACGCATCTCGGTTTTGCTAACATCAACTCATAAACTCGCTGCGCGTATGGTATCAAATGACTATAGGTCCGACAGTTCCTCTTCGCTCACGAACTTAAAACTACCAGATCTTGCTCAAAGAAGAAAATTTTTCAGATTAATCTTCTTTCACAAAATTATTACAGGACAAGTCACTTTTGAGCTTTTCGTTTGTACAGCCTCTTACCACTAGAACTTCTTTGCGAACCTCTAATCGATGTCTCTGGCAGGTTCCCTTGTTAAAACGTAAAACTACTAGATCTTCATTTTTACCAAAAACTATAAAA